CTAAAAAAAAAAAAAAAAAAAAAAAAAAAAAGAAGCAAAGCAAGATACAAAAGGGCATAATCTTGGGACTGTGTGTGTTAGGAGCTCCAGGGACTGCCCTGCTAACTAAGTTGGGAACAGACATAGTCATAGAGGAAGGGAGAAGTAACAATTCATTTTGCCTCCCCCCACCTTTTTTTAAAATAAGATTTTTGCTATATCTTATTTATCATTGCATGTGCAGGGCATGTGCACTCACCAAAAAGAGAAAGAGGGAAAGTGGGAAATTACTCCCCTTCCCCCCACTGAGACAATGACCAAACTACACTCCTTTTTCCTCCATTTTCCTCTCAGGATTTTGGACACACACACACACACACACACCCTCGTCTGGCATATTTTTCAAGCCACCGGTCCAGGACTCAAAACACAGAGTCAGCCATGTGGGATCTAGCTCCTTAACCACTGTGTCATCTTCTGGCCCCATGTTGCACTTTATAACATTTCTGCAACACATGATTCTTCCAGAAATGTTGCAAAAAAAAAGGTTTTTTTTGGATGCACTTCTGTCTACCACTTTGCATTTTCCTACTGGTGGTAGTGCTGGTTGTTGGTGGCCTGAGGGTCGCACCTGGTAGTAGAGAATCTGATCCTCTTTCTTCCCCTCTTCTGTGGCCCCTCCTGCTGCCTCCTTTATTTCTTAGCCCTAGGATGTCTAAGAATGAACCAAAGGAATAAGAACACACAAAAGATAGAAGCTCTGAATGACCTTCTTTGGACTTGGCATAATCAGAAATCAGAAAAAAAAGAGAGGAATGTAATCCTGTGTTTGGATCAGTGTTTCTAAAGATTGCCTTGCCCCCACAGAGGTGATATAATAAAATGGGGTGCAGAGAAAGGGTAACAGGCACTGAAAGATGAATAAAGCAAGGCAGTGCATGCAGAAGAGGAAAGCGTAAAAATGGGACAAAACTGTGTGATGACGGGAGGCATTGTTACGTTCCAGGAGGAAAATGCCAAGGGTTGTTCATTTTGAGGGACTGGGGGGCCGGGGGACCACGAAGAAGAGCAAAGTCACTCCATACATTTCTTTAGGGAGAGTAGGATGACATGAGACAAGTCCAAAGATGCGGATATGTTTTTAGTTGTATTAAGCGGAATTGCACGATCTCTGGCAGATGAAATAAAAGTTTGCTTGGAAAATTCACTCAATTATGACAAACCTGGGAAAGCAACCAAGACAACCAATGGAATTTTGCTATAAGAGGTAGCTGTAACATCTAGGAAAGTCAGGATTTAATATTCCCTTTCTTCCCTAAAAAAGATTTCTGGTTTCTGGATTTTATGTCCTGATTTGTTACTGATACGTTCCTTTCCCTTCTTTTTTTCTGTGCCTGTTTCTCTTTCTTAAAATTAGATAAATTAGCCTTGTTCTCTATATAAATCTATTCCTTTTTGCTTTCCAAAAGGAAGTTTGTGAGATCCAGCTTATAAAGAAAAATTACAAATGAATATTTGCTCGTGTTCCTCCTTACCTCTTCATTCTCAGCATCTATTACTTTCTCAAGTTTAACTGTGCTTTCTGAAGTCTTTGAGTTGCCATATTGAAAACTGAAAAAGAGAACATTCCGTTGCATTTTGTGGCTCTCAGGCCTTGCCTTCTTGCATGTTCTCAATGTCTCTCTAAAGAATGTGGAAGCCTAACTTAAGAAGAGCCCAATTTAAGTAATCACCAATTGAGTATACTGTAAAAAAAAATAATAAACTCATTATCAAGCCTGTACTTGGGGGTGGGGTGGGGAACTCAGTTTGAAGGATTAAAGAAATAGAACCTTTTGGAGATATGATAACATCTGATGGATCTTTTTCTAAAATAAAGGCTTTAGACCATTCAAGGAAGTTCTCCAGTAGACTGCTTAAGGAAAAATTTTGGTCAACCAGAACCTCACAATACCATTAAAGATGGCCTACTATCTCGAATGCTTACCTTCATACTCTTACTCTATAGGGAAGTGGCCCTACCTTGGCCAATGATTAGCCAATGAATCTACAGGGGAAAAAATATAGCTATTGGGGCTTTACAACTAAATCTCCTATCCCAATTGACCTTACTTGGATTACTGGCTCTCACATCTTCCTAACCACACCTAAAGATTTCTTGTCCTAGAACTAGGGTAGTAAAAATAGTTAGCAATGGTGAATATTTGTGTACTTTGTTCTTTTACTTACTTTCTCATCTTCCACCCAGGTACTGTTTCCCTATGGGGGAAAAGACAGGGAAAGAAGTTTCAATATTTGATAATAAAGTGTTTTGGAGTTCCTGGCTGATTTTTTTTTTTTGAGAGTTTTTTTTTTTTTTTTTTTTTTTTTTTTTTTTT